CATCGAGTTGTGGATGTAAAGCCTTTGGTAAGCTAAAAAAAACTCCTAGTTGTCTCATGCAGAAGGATAATATTTGGCGGAAAACATTTTCTGACTGTTAACTATGCGTGACACTGTAATTGCAGGCTTAACCACACACTACTGCTGGGTATGCATCTGGCTTTGGCATTCGACTAAAATGGTCAGACCGAGTTCAGTTCTTATCCGGTAACTGCGTACCACTTTTCGGGTATATCATCGAGACAATTTTAGACATCGTTATCTTCCACAGGCTCAGGCTACCATAGACGGTCAAGGCTCAAAACGATCAAATACATTACCACGACTAAATGAAAAACCGGCACTGAAACAAACATCATACGTTCATTATTTTTCTCCCCAAGAAGGCCCATTTGTTTGGTATCTAGATGCAGGTTTTGTTCTGCTCTTTGGGACCAATCAGAAGCCTGCCGGAGGGCATTGTCCAGGATTTTAATCAACAGTAAAGTAACGGGTCAGAAGGAGTTGGGAGCCTTTTTCGCATTGACTGAATTAGTATTCGCAAATAGCAGGACATTATCCGAACGCTTGAACCATAGTTTGTCTAGGGGCGTGACTACTGCGTTTTATGACAAGAACGCATACAGATTTGCAAATCGGTAAAATGACTGATTTGTAAAAACAACCTCCTTGCTTACACCCTACTCTATCCGATTTACATGGTATAAAATTAATTTCCGACTGCGGCAATTCTGGTTTGATAGGACACTTTAGTTCAGAATACGCTCTTCTCACAGAAGAATATGTTCGGATGTCCAAAGTTGTGCAAACTTCGTGTAGGACAGCTACTAACATAGGAAACTAATTGAATACAGGGTAAGGTAGATTCCCGCTCAATTTTTTGACTTTTTATCTGATTTATATATTCGTAAGCATATTCGGCATGCGAAAATGCCATTTCCAAAGATGTACTAGATGAATAAATGAAATGCGCGACATTTAAGGTACCCAAAATTAATCGTCACGATTTTCTTAATCATGTTTTTTCGAGTTAGGTCACGTATTCTACTTTCCGTGTAAGGAAAGTCATGCATTGCCCTCGACTATTCAGTGGATGTCATATAGTGCTCATTAATTTTATATTACATGTGTGCATTGTCGTACAATTCACAAGAATTTTCACTAAAGCGATAAATTTTGAGAATCTAAAAACGGTGCTTAACATTTGTACTACTTAAATAGCAATTTTTACTGAGTGGTATATTAACAGGGGTCCGAAAAAGCGCATTCAAAAGTCGACATTATGAAATGACTGTAATGCCTCAGGAATTTGCTGCATGGTAGCCGACATTACAACTCTACCCAAGTGATCCTTTCAAAACGGTCGAAGACCATCAGCTACAGTGAGCTGACCACACAAATTTCGTAAACTACTAACAAGCTGCCAGTAGTATATGCTTAGGTAGCACGATATACCGTAGTTGACAGCACAGGTACTAGCTAAAAGCCCCGACATTTGACTCCTCAATATTCTACCGCTGCACGACATAGCTGCGAGGCGTTTGACTCATCACCGGTTCCCCTAAACTTTCCCTGTGCTTTCTGAAATATCGTGACTAGAGTATCTACGAGGAATGCTGGGGGATCCGGTGATGAGCCGAACTCCTCGCAGCTGTGTCATGCAGCGGCAGAATATCGGCGAAACACTCGTGTATGGATTTTTAGATAATACCCGTGCTGCCAACTACCGTATATCATGCTACCTTAAAAAATAAATTTACTTCAAAGTCAGCCGCCATACTTTTGCCCGATGTTCTTAATGAAACAATGACCTTCGATACCTGGGCCACTGTATAACTTATTGGGTGCAACCCTCATTTATACATCAGGTCTTGCAAAATCCATTCTGGCACAGCGAGAGAGAGAGTTAGAGTTGGACGAGAATACAGGAGTCCCAGGTTCTTGCTGTAAAGTAGATGAAGGCGCGTTTACTGTAACTGTGGGCATATTAGCCGGGACATTCGGACTCATATGGGAGCCAGCCATCAGACAGTTTAAGACTGCAACAAGTAATCCCGAAAGTTTAGACCAGCGCACCCACGGTTCCAGTAGTCGCGCCCTCATCTTATTCGCAGAGTTGTCTGTCTGGAATAGCTCTTTAAGAGAGATGACGAACTAGACATATTCTTCATTCGCCCTAATTCCCTCCTGTGCACCGACTTCCGAGAAATGAGTCTTGAAATCCGCGTGGAAACACGCTTACTTCATTGAGTCCCACCCGAAACTGTGTTGGAATGTCTATGTCTCTCTAACATTTTGCTTGACCCACAAGTCGAAATTGGTGAAATTCAGCTCATAAGCATTTCCTCAAAGACCGTTCTTAACTTCTCAAGCAAGGTCGTTTTTGATAGCTTAAATTAACAGTAGAGACGAATGACCCTCTCTCAAGTAGCATAATGGTTGAGCGAAAAGAAGTGTCTTTGGTTCCTTAATGAGAGGGCCATTCGGTTAACACGCCAGATAGAAGATGATTTGAGATTAACCGAGAAAGCCTGTGACTGTCTGGCTCTTCGTCGAGGGAAGAGATTTCCGTTTCTAATTGCTCACCTCCACTTTAAGCCGACTGTCTGCGTATATTTTGCTTTTGCGTAGTGACGGGTCGCCTTCCTTTAGAACTGTAATATATGGGTCATAAGGTGCGTGCTACTTCTCCTCCGAGACGGTTTGAGATCAAAACGCCAAAAAGTGCATCTACTTCTTCTGGGGGTGGATGAAGTTTAACTTTGCTCTTGGAGAGTCGGATGGGAAGTTAAACTTCAAAGTCAGACCGAGCTTCATTCACTCCGAGTCTACCGTTCTACGCCCTGCCGTCTGCGATCTGAAGCAACGACAGAGCAGTAGATAAACTCTTTCTCGTTTTTGTCCTTTAGACTGAAGTGCTCGCAGGCGGTAACTCAGCAAAGAACTGCGTCATCGGTCGGCCGATGAAAACTGCGATTTAACCTCAAATTCCGTTGATCGAAGTCTTGCTTTCCTATCACCAATCCCAAACAATTGATTCGTCACAGCAAAAACGAAGTTGCAGGATCCAAATCCCACTAGAAGTACAGTTAGTTTAACTAATCGTTAAGCTACAGAAAATCCCGCCGCCTCTTTTTTCATCCTTTGTTCGAGGAGCGCCGATACGAAACGCAAAGATAATTTGTAACGGGTGGTTTTACTCAGCTGCACGTCCGAGAGCCGAACTGGAGGCCTGCTCGATGATTGGCTGGCTCGGCTCTGACCTTGGGAGTGCAGCCAGCGGTTGTGGCATCACAGGCTAATGATGGCCATCCCTGTGCCTCCGCCATTGCCGGTAGAAATGTCGCCATTATCTATTGCCCGTTATCCTGCGACCGTCAACCCCAACATAAAGCGAAAATGCTCATTTCCATCCTGCAGTCTGATTAGATCGGCGCATGCCACCCTCATCTCAGTCGACATGACGCGAGACCGGTAGTGCAGCGGCGAGAGCATTGCCCGAATCGAGGTTCGGATGTGTAACCCACCGCTCAGCGGCCGGGAATAAGCCAGTATCCTGCCCTTGCCGATATTAACTTCCTAGTTATCTCTCGTAGGTCGCAAATGCCCAGCCCCAAAACCGGACGAA